TTTTTTCTTGGGCAATTACTTGATTCATATGATTATGATTCTATTATTAACCTCTTTTTTTTTATTCATTTCAATTCATTCATTTATTCAGTTCACCCCAATCAAGGCAATAAAGCCACTAATATGCAAGGGATTACTGAGTGTTAGAGAATATGAGAAAAAGAAAACATTATTATTAAGGAGAGAGAGAGAGAGAACAATATAAAAAAAAAAACAAGAATTAGGGAGGCAGAAGATTGCATTTACATTCTTGAAGAGCAAAGTTGACTGGAAAGCAAGAAACTGTTAGTATAGTACTTAGAATTACCTCTAGCCATTTCAACTGTAAGATGATTAGACCTTGCTACCAATTTAGTAGTACACTTAAATTCATAAAATTTCTTTGCCAAAGAAGAAAGCTCATCAGACCAATTACCATGAAACTATTTATAGAAAAAGTACAGGGAAGCTACATCATCATTGGTAAGTGACTGAAGCTGATAAAATCAGTAATTGGTGTGTCCGTCTTTTCATTGGCTCAGTAAAAATTCTGACTTTCAAGTTATTTGAAACAGAAAAACTCTTTGGATGTTTTTGCAATAAGCAGGCTTTCATGTGTTAATGTCAGTGATTTTTTTTTTTTTTTTCCTTGTGTGTGTGTGTGTGTGTGTGTGTGTGTGTGTGAACTTTCACCATCTTTCTTGATCTACACATTTTGTACATTCATCATTTTTATCTGATGTTAAGTCGTCTTTATTTAAATCACAAGTAGAAGTGACAGAATCAGTTTTCCTTCTGCCCCACCCCCCCAAGCAAACCTGCACAATTATTTTAAATTGTTCTATTTATATTAATACTACAGTATTCTTCATCTTGACCAGTTTCATATTCTTGACTATTCTCCTTTTGAAATATTTGAAAACAATAAATGTAAAATTTTTGTTGGAATTTCTGGGATGAGGAGTTATTTACACTATTATCCTCATCTTTGTTGTTATGACAATGCTTTGGCCGTTGTGCTCTCCAGCCTTCCTCAGGTGTATATTGATCTGGGTAAACTACAGGGAATTCTGAACTGAACCCTTTATTTAACCTATAGGGGTAGACTGTTCTTAATTCACAGCTCATGTCTAGGGGTATTGTCTAGTTCTTATTTTATTTACTATCTATACCTATGCAATAATTGAACAGTACTAAATAAAAATGAGACAATATCCCTAGACATGAGCAGTAGATCAAGAATAATCTCCCGCCCAATAGATTAAATGTGTTCAGTTCAGAATTCCCTGTAGTTTATTCAAATTGATATGCACCTAATGATGGCTGGAGAGCACAGTGGCCAAAACGTAATAGCAACAACAAAGATGAAGACAATAGTTCAAATATTAATAGTGTAAGTAATAAATGTATAATTTCTCTCCTACTTTCATGTTAAGCTTATCAGCAGCTTCGCTGTCAAGCTTTGTAAGAGAAGATCTCTTTGAATTTCAACCATTTTCACCTTATTTTGACAATATTAAATGAACCCTGACACTAATGATATATAGAGATTAAATATTTAAAAATAAGAAATTCACTGTAATAGGGATTACAGTGCTGTACCCATTTGGAATTTTTAATGAAAAAAATACCTTCTCTGACATATGTTACCATAACAATTTTGCCAAGTAAAATACAAATGAGGGGAAAAATAATAGATGAAACTATAATTCAGCAAAAATTTAAATGATGAATTCAACTAAGATTCGTGCTGTCAAAGAATTAGATTTTTTTTTTTTTTTTTTTTTTTGCTGTAGTGGTTCCAGATATTGATCAACCAAGAATTATTTCTTTTAAACTCAATATTTGTTTTACACACATCAATGTGTCAAATGAATAGAATCAAGTGGAATCTGTATATTACTCCTTTTGATTTATGTTCACCAGAAAATGCAAAATATTCATTGATCATTTTTTGAAGGACCTATAACTATAAAAGTATATAAAATAGAGGTAAACTGAAACCAGCAATGTCTTTTTGCATCAGTCTACAGAGGTATACAGTATGTCATCCAGACATCTTCTGGGGATGTCAAGTTACACAGTACTAAATATGGCAAATCATGCTATTGACTGGTGAACAAACATCTGAGAAAATTCCAAGAGGCCATGACTTCTGAATTATGTCAGATGAACTGTTACCTGGCATGATTAAAAGGTGGTTTTCCAGATAAAGGGAATTAGAATTCAGTACCTACCAAGAGGTTCATTTTCTTTAAGACTTTCAAAAGGATGTCTTTTCTGACACATGTCTAACAATACGATTTCTCACACATCATTAGGAGATAAGTAGATAAATTCTTTTTAAGTCCACTTAATTATCTGAGTTTCTTAGGAAATTCGTCTCCAGTCTGTTTTTGAGTCAACTTAAATGTCAGAGTTTTCAGGATTTCTATCTCCAGCCCACCTTTGAATTGGCAAACATTAAATTTTGTCAGTGATTTTAAATAATTATAACAACAGTCCTTTGATGTAGCTGACCACCCAAAAAGCTGAATAGATGGTCACTTGTTCCGGAACACAAAGGGACGGATAGGGGTGGTCGGTAACCATATAAGCAGAGAGAGGCAGAAAGTCGGTAAGTAGGTAGGCAACCAGTAAGTAGCTGTCCAGCAGCCAGTGAGGAAGAGACTATCAAGCAGGTAGGGAGATAGCAGTCAACCATTGAACTGAAGGGAAAGATTGGTGGTTTAGTGAGAATTTGTATTGTTGCTATTTCCCAACCAGTGTCTTGAAAAGCAATTGTTGTTATTCTCTGTTAAATTCAAACACGGCCAAGTGGACAAACCTGTGAACATAACTAGCCAGGTGTATACACATACAACTAACCTTGGATGTCATCAGGTTGTGCAGTGATGGACTAGCAGAGCACATTGTCACACATGTATCCATTAAAAAATAATGTTTATATTAGATCATTGCAAAAGTTTGTGCCGGATTAGAAAATTAAAAACAAAATTTTACATACTCATAAAAAAAATGTTAGTCAAGTAAAAAGTTTCCATTGTTTTTAACAACTGTCTACAATCCTTCTGATGCTATTTTCATAGAAATTTTGTGTATTTGTTGGGAAGAAGGTTGTGCAGTAGTTTTCAACTGACTGTACAAATTTTTGTCATTTAAATTCTTCAATAGAGACAAAGACAAATGAAAATCCATAGGCACCAAATAAGGAAAGTATGGTGACTGTTGGAAGGTTTCCCATTTCAAATCTTTAAGCATCTGCAAGGTCTGTTTTGCAACATGCGGACTTATGTTGTGGTGGTGGTGGTGGAAAATGACACCACTTCGATTTGCCAAAATTGGTAGTTTTTGTTGAACTCAAGTCTCTTCAAATGGTGAGAGACAGTTGAGATATCGATTTTCAAAATTTTAGCAATCTCTTTTGTTTAAATTTTGAGTTTATTCACCATTATGACCATACAGGGTGTCTTCATCGACGTTGGAAGCTTCCTCTGACAAAATCGGCCAAACAACTTTTTGACAGTCCGAATAGCTGGATAACGATCCAAATAAACCTTCTGAATGATTTTTTTTTTTTTTCTTGTTGTTGCTGTTCTGACATTTAATCCTTTTTGAAATTCATACAGCACAATATGGCAAAAGTGCAAGGCATTCATCCTCCAAGGCATTCATTTGTGGAGAAAATGTCAACATTTAACAAATTCTGATTTGCAACTGAATGATGAAACGTTTCAGTGTCAGACACATCAGAAATCAGCACCAAAACAAACACCAGTGTCAAGTTGCGGCCATTTTATATTAACATGGAAAATCTGGCACAAAATTTTGCAATCATTGAATAGCAATAAGAAATAATTTCATCAATTGCTCTCTCTCTCATTTATTTATATATATATATATATATATATATATATATATATATATATATATATAGGCAACATATTTTCATTAAGACAGGTTTCATTAAATAATTTAGAAATGTTCTGCCTGCTTATTCTCGATAGGATCCTTTTATATTCATGGATAAGCTTTTTTGTGTGGTTATTAAAAGACTAGAGGAAAACACTGTGTTGGCTCATATGGTATTTATTTAGAGTACTTTTGACATAGCATAATGTCATCATCGATGTATTGTTAATTATAGAGTAAGTATTTAGTGCTTATGGTTGTTAAGGGCCAAAATTGTTGTAGTCATCTGAAGATTACCATTTTTATATGTGGAGTCATGAATGCTGTGTCATGGCTGGTTGACAGACACCATTTAAAGGGGGGTAACTAGGTATGGTGTAGAAAAGTTCCGGGCTTTAGTAGTTGCTAGATAAAGGAAAAAAATATTAATGACAAACGCTAAAATTTAAAGATTATCTATTGTGCATATTTTAAAATGTTTGTGGAGTATTCGTAATTAATTTTGAGGTTTGGTTTCAATTTCTTGATATAAATAACTTTGAGAATTTTTAGTTTGTGTTTATTCTTTTATTCAAAATATATATATATATATATATATATATATATATATAAAATTGTATGTGAGAGATTTCAGATATCCTTTAAAGGTTTTGGAAGATATTTCTCACGGATAAGTGGCGACTGCTATAGAATAAATTTTGAGCACTGCTCAGTTCAATTATGATCTCAAATTTATTTATATTTTTGTTGGCAATTGTTTAAAATTGATAATCTTGGATTTCCATTTTCTACCTTTACTTACACCCTTCTCTTGCTCCTCTTGTTTGTTTATTGTAATATTAATTGAAATAAAACCTACTGGTGTGTTATTTTGGTTTTTTTTCCCATGTTAATTTTTGTCCCTTAACTTTTGTTGACTTTGTTCTAAACTTTTGGTTAATTGGTTTAGTTTCAATCCATAGACTCCAATATAAACAAAATTAGATCAATTACAAAGTTCTGCTATTGGTAAAAATTAATCTTAAGAAATTTTTAAATTGATCTGCCTAAAATAGTTTTGATTAGAAGATAACAAAACCCAAAATAAGATTAAACTGTAAATCACTTTAGCTTTAAATACTGGTATTGAAAAGGTTTTCTATTTGACCTGAAGATACATGTATTGAAAGTTATTTTTCTTACATAAATTTCTTTTTGTTGTGATGAGATGTTGAATAAAACATTAAAAATTGAATTGAAAATCTGTATGATTAATATATAGCTAGCAATGACATCAATGGTGGTAATACCTTTGTTACATCTCATTAAATAGAAATATTACAAACCTATGACTTGGTACCCCCAAAATAAGGGAAATTATTTTTTAAAAACGTTTTGTTTGCTAACTCCAAAGCAAACATGTTATCTCAATCAATTGTCTGATTGAATACATGGTGAAATTGGATATTTTCATCATTAAAGCTTGTTGAAGACTTGCTTAATCGTGGTTGGACTTCAAGGGACATTTTTGCTATGTTTGAAACATGTACATGTATTTTACATAAAGCTTTTTCTTCTTTAAAAGCTACAATTGTTTCAGCAGCTGTTTTCTCAAAATGAAGATAAAACTTAATGTTCTTTGTTCTTGTGTTTTTTTTGGTTTGTTTTTATCAGCTATTGCAAATAGGCTTGTAAATTCCAGGAATGAGAGTATAGGAAACAAAAAATTAATCCAGAACCATGTTGTATGAGAGAATAAATAGCTCACAAATAGCATTGATGCATGGCACCTTGTAATATGCAACTGTGTTCAGTGTGTGCCCTATATTTGAGTTTTTTTTTGTTTTTTTTTCTTTCTGTGGTGAAGAGTGATACCCTCTTGTATGTTAATTTTTAGTTTGATTTTTATTTTTTTTTAATGGTTTAAAAAAAAATGTTCTGTTTCCTTTTGTCTTAACTTATAATTTTCCATAGGTGAAAAGAAATTTGTTTGTCTCTTTCAGGTTTCAGTCCCAGTGTTCAGAATTTGGTCCTTCGAAGGATCTATCCAACACTTCTAGCCACAATTATTATGATTGTAGCTAGCATATTCCAAGCTCGTCAGTTTAAACGACTTTATGAACATATTAAGAATGATAAGTAAGTATTGAGAAAGTGAAATGAAACGGAAACAAGATCCCTTTGTTTCAAAGCTTGATGATGAGTGACTTGTGAAGGATGTTGTCAAAGTTTGATTCAGAATCCATGTTTGTCTTTTTGCATAACAGTGCTCCTTAAACTTTTTCATCACAAGATTTTTTTGTGACACCAGGTATTAAATATCAAAGAAAACCTGCAAATAAATACGTAAATCATTTATTTTTTTTGCTGAACAAAATATATATATATATATGTATATACACACACACACACACACACACACACACACACACACAAATGAACAAAATACTGAGAGAGAAAAATAAACTATGAAAACTCCACAAATATACTCAAATGCCTATAATTGATAACGGAAGCCATTGGTTTATACCAATGGCTTCCCATACTTCTCGTTTTCACTCTTGCGTGATCATGTGTGATGTCATAAATCACGTTGCGATTTTTGCTTCCGGCATCTCATATACAAGAGTTTGTCATTGCTTGGAAATCTTCCATGCAAACAAAAACAGACTATGATTATTGCTATGTGTGTGTATTGTTTAATATATTGTAATGTTATTGTAATCTTTGATGATGGCTTATGTAAGCTGAAAGCTTAGATAGGATTAAAAAACATATCAATATGGTGATTTTCTTTCGTCTTTCAATGATAATGTTATTAAGCTTATTAGACAATATGAAAGGAATTAACATAAAATAGACAAAACTTGTCTATATTATTTAATGAAACATGCATCAATGAAAAAATGCTGTCTAAATACACATAAATTTAAATTATATATATATATATATATATATATATATATATATATATATATATATATAAAGTAGTTATATTATTTGTCAAAATAAAAGTAGTACAAGTACAAAAAATAAACCAAAGTAAAAATCAACACGATGGATGTGCTTGTTTTATTGCTGTATAATAAATTAAGCCTTGGTATAATATTTGACACTGCTGGATGTAAAGCATCTTCTACGTTTTTCAGTGTTGAACAATATTTAGTTTTAATCAGGGTTAAAGCTGAAAAAGTCATTTCACACAATGTATGTGGTGCTAAATTGCCAAAAAAACCTGTAATGCAATTTCAGAAATTGTGGAAAATTCAGCTTTAGCTTGGATCCAGAATTCAGTCAAAGACTTTTGAATTCAGTCAAAGACTTTTTGTAAATTCAAGTTTGAGTCACTCAATTCCTCAGTGAGTTAAAATGTTTGAATTTAATTTTCAATACCCCAGCATTTGTTAGCTTTCTTCAGATATAATAGGTTGTTAAGTGTTCATATTTTTTTTTTCATAATCTATTTTACTACTTATTATTTGTTAATAGTTCTGATGAATTGTTCAACAATGTATTCTCTTTCATTGTTTACAACCTCCTGCCAATGATCCACTGTTCAATGCCTCAATGATATGAATCATTAGGTTTATGCATCAAGCCACCTTTTAAGCTCTACATCGTTCTTGAATGAAACACCCCTTAAATTTTTAGAAAGTGGCTGAAAAAGTTGTTAGTCTGAAGAGGCTAAATCAGGAGGATATAATGGGTGTGGTAGAACTTCCCAACTGAGCTCTTTAATTACATATTCAGTCATGTTAGCAATATGAGGGTGTGCATTGTCGTGTTGAATATTCATACTGTATCTCTTTGAATCTATTTATTTGTTCAACATACAGTTTAGCATTGGCTGTTTGGATGTTTTGAAGCATTTCATCTCCATACACAACACAAATATCTTATGCAGATTTGGCAACTCTCTGACTGTGATTAAAAGCAAAGAGAAGATATTGAACATGCTCATTCTTGTTTACTTGGCATTCCATTTCAAAGGGTTGTCTAATCTGAAGTAAATTTTCAATAACGTTAGACAACAGTTTCACAGGATGACCAGAGTTCCAAAGAAGCAAAAAATGCTAGAGATATTCTTTGAGATTATTCTTAGAACATCCAAAAAAAAAGAAAATCCGAATGTGGGCTGTAGAATAGCTTAGATGAAACATTATGGTAATGATAAAAGCAACTTGTTTTTTAAAAATCATTTCACCCTAAGCAAGGCAATAAAGCCACTAAGACACAAGAGGTTACTGAGTGTGGGACATTTTTAAAATTTTGATATTGGCGTTTTTATTATGCTTCTAACAATTATAAAGGTGAAAAATGAAATGTTGATTTCAGGATGGTTTAAAATTTTTTTTGAGGATGTCTCTGGGGCAATGGTGAAAAAAGTTAGTCTAGGTCCTGCTTTGTATTCTAAACAATGTATGATGTATTTTGTAGTTTTGAAAGCTGAAATTCCTTATTGTCAGTTAAGCTCTCAATGGTAATGATAATATTATCTGTTACCTTTTTATAAGGAAACATTTGGCATTCATTGGCTGAGCATCCTGTGCTGTTGTTGGTTGACATTTATAAAATCTTTCTCTTAAAACAATTTATCAAGTAGATAGGTTCTCTCAACTCCAGTAGCTGTTGTTTATCCTTTCAATATTGATGGGCACTTCCTTCCTAACCTTTTATTTAAAGTAGTATGGTGATTTTATTGGCACCATGCATTTTTTTATTTTTTTTTTTTATTTATCATTTCACCCCAAGAAAAGCAGGAATGCCATTAGCAGGGGGTTACAGATAGTGAAAGAGAGAGAAAAGACTGGGTATAGAGTGTCCAAGGAAAAGCTGAATGGGGTTCAAGAAGATGGCGATTGACTCTGCATCTAAATTTTTGAAGATTGTAGTTATTGGTGAAGCAAGGAAATGGAAAGGAGTTCCACAGGAGGGAAGTGCGAGAAAAGAAACTGTTGGAGTAAAAGTGGTGATTACTTTTACCTAATTCAACAGTAAAAGGGTGGGATATGAAAGTCTCAATCTCAAGGCTATTTAAGAACATGACTTGAGTTTTCAGATTAATGTCTTGAATGTTTCTTTTTTTTTATGCCATTAGAATCATTAATGGATCATTGGATAGGAGTTAACATGTAAGATTAAAGTGTATGTTTTTAAGAAATGTTGGGAATGTTATACTTATCTGTATGTATTTTGAGTACATTTGTACTTTTTTCTTTCTTTACTAAAAGACCAGAATTATAATTTAAACCTGTATTTTGATATGAATACGTTTTCTTGTCAATCCAAAATTGATGACCTTCATGATGAAAGTAACTGCTGTGAGCGTTTGAGTAATTGTATTTTTTTCTGATTGTAATATGTGCTATTTTCTTTCAGGTATTTGGTTGGGCAGCGCCTGGTGAATTACGAACCTAAAAAGCCTTTCACTGGCCACAATTCCCCATCCTTTGCTGGAATGACATTTTCACAAGCTCAACAACCAGCACAACAACAACAGCCAGCAATAGCCGCTGTACAGCAACAACAACAACAACAGCAGCAGCAGCAAGAAGGAAATATTGGAGTTGATATTCTGCCTGGGCCACTGCTCCAGCCAGCTGGGGCAGCCCCTGGGGGCAATGCTGGGCTACAACAACGTTTGGTTTGAAGCAAATTTTTTTTTTTTTTTTTTTTTTTTCCCTCCCCTCCTCATTCGTTTGTTTTTTTTTCCATGCTGGAGATGTGGTAAATGTCAGTGATTTCCTTTTGGCCCACAATTTTGATTGCTTGGTTACTGAACAATATGTGGGAAGAAATGAGGAATATTGAAAAAAAAATATATCTCTGAAAACACGAATAAAAATGACGACCATTATTAATAATTATTATTAAGGCATTAAAGTTGGTAATAATTAATAACAGTTGGATTTGTGGGTGAGTAGAGAAGAATTGTGCAATATGGCTTAATGATTTTTTCTTCTTTTTTTTTTTTTTTTTTTTTTCTTCTTTACTAAATACTATTTTTTAATATTTAAATAATTGTTTAATTTTTCTCTTATTCCTGTTCTTTCATTGTCCTCTTTCCTTAATAGTAGTTTTCTCATATTCTCTCACACTCAGTAACCCCTTGTATCGTAGTGGCTTTATTGCCTTGCTTGGGGTGAAATAATTTAAAAAAAAAAAATTGTTCATTTATATCTGTTTTTAATATTTTATATAATTTTCAGTTTTTAAAAAAATCATTTAACATCTAAGTGAAAGTTAAATCCTCTGATGAGAAATGAAAAAAAATGTTTTTTAACCATTATTTTTCTGAAATATTTCTTCCTCTCATTTATTTAGTGTTTTCTAAGTTTTGTTTTTTCTTTTTTGTTTTAAGATTAGGTCGTATTACAGAAATGTTATCAATTCATCAGATTGCCCACTAATAAACATATTTGGTTCTTGAAAAGGCAGTTGCAAGCTTAACACATTTCACTATTTGAGGTGAAAAAAAAAAATTGTTAATCTGACCACAGTTTATACATACTGCAATTATAATTCCTAACTCTCACTGCTTAATCACTTTGTAAGTATTTTTAATATTGAATGAAAATATTTTTCTTTTTTTTTCTTTTTTTTTTCTTTTTTAACATTTCCTTGAGAATTTAGTTAAAAAAATTTTTGAAAGTTTCTGTAATTAAGATTTGGATCAAGTGTTTAGAGAAACCTTTAAGAAATAAATGATGACATTTTTTTGTTTTTTAAGAAAGCAAAACACACACTTTACCAAATATTTAATTTGGCATTAATGACCTGCCTAGGGTTGCTCAGATCAATTGTGTCAATTGAGATAAAATTTTGGTCAGCTTTCACCACTTTTTTTTCTTTGGGTAGCCACTGACCAAACCTTATTTCTTTGTCAGGAATAATGACTAACTTTGACCACTTTTTCTTGCTCTCAAAAATTCCTTTGGCCAACAGCAATGGTTAATTTGACCTTCCAATGATCAGACTGTTCAAACCTAAGATTCTTTTCAATAGAATTCTTGTAATTTATCTGATAATTTCTCTTGGAAATAATACCAATCTTTTGTTCTTGCCAATACAACATATTTTGTTAAAACCAAAGAAAAAAAATGTTCAAAATTGTTCAACTCTTTATTTTCTTTTTCGTTATTTTTTTTTAACGTAAAATCTAAAAATAATGATTTCTCAATCACAATCACTTGGTTATTTTTCTTGTTTTTTTTTTTTTGTTTGTTTTTTTTCCTCCCTGTCATTTCATAATCAAATTAGATCTTGTTTTAACATTCCCTACTTATAGTTTCAAGTGCATAGCTACTCTTTTGTTGGTTTCTTTGTGTAGAAACTTGTAGTTACTTAAAGCTCATTGCTATCTATTGTATATAACTTGATCTCAGTTTTAGGTTGAAACAGAAAAAAAAAAAAGTGGGTTAAATTTAAATTATAATTTTCAACAAATTTTTTATGTATTTTGATAAATTATGACAGCAAAAAAAAAGTCGTTTTTTTTTTTTTTTTTTTTTTAAAAGACTAATATCTGGAATAGTAAGAGTAAGGAATAAAAAAAATATCTTTCCATATTGGTGAGTGGCTTAATAAAATCTAAAGGAAGGGAAGATATTAAATCAACAATTTAATTGCACAAAATAAATTCATTCTACCTGTCTCATGCTACAAACTATACATACATATATTACATCTACGTGTTGAGAATGTTGGCTATATTAGTGGTGAGGGGTGTAATGTTGTTTGTATCTACATCTAAAGATACATTTTTTTTTTTTATCTTCCTACATTGTCAATTCTCTGTCAGTATTTTAATTAATTTTTCTTCTTTTTACATTTATAATTAAAAATATTAATCTGATTGAAACATTATTTTTTTTTATTTTATTTTATTAGTAAAATAGTTTTGTTATGCTTAGCTGTACAAATTTGTTTTCCCAACAAAATTCTGTTCAACTTGGTTCCTTGTTTCTTTTACAAATCAAATGGGTGGAGGTTAAGGCGTTAGACATGACTTTAGCTCATCTGACAAAGGCATTAAATCAGTTAAGTCTGCATTGATGGTTGGCTGGGATGTGAACCTCAAAGTAACCATTCTTTGCAAAGTCTTCAATGAGTATCATGATCTCTTTATTATGTGCATGCAAGACTTGTATTAAAAATAAGATAAAAAGAATATTTTTAAAGATTAATTTCCTATTGAGAGAATTAAATTACTCTAAACTTGCTTATGATGATTGGCCTGGGTAACCAATGTATGAGGGTTCAGTTAGCAGGGACTTTTTCTTTTTTAAATACAATTTAGGGATACACAGATTTATACATTAATCTCCCTGACTTCTGATAACCTTCTCCCTGTATAATACAAGATTCGGCTTATGAGCAGGTATCTAGTTGTTCTGCAAGTCTTTCATATTCTCTACCTTTTGGTCCATTGGTGTATTTGTTAAATGACTTCCTTTAAATGAAAGACAGGAATACATATAACTTGCTATTTCATTAAAAATATTCAAGTTGATTTTTCTTTTTTCTTTTTTTGGGGGGGTGGGGGTAGGTGGAGAAATGAATGGGACGAGGAAGTAGTAAGCTTTGCTTGCGTTTTTTTCACCTCTGAAGCCCATGAATAAATGAAATGACTGAAATGAAAAATTTGGATGAGAATTTTTTTTTGTGATTTGTCTTCTGTATTAATTTCAACAAATACGTTAAACAAAAAAGAGGTGATTTTGTTGCCATTTCCTCTATAAAATTGTTTCTTACTTTTATCAAAAACTTATATATATATATATATATATATAATCTGGTTGGAATGGAAGTTCTAGCAGTTTGTAGAACATTTTCTACCAACCATATCTATGTATGTAGCATGTGGATAAACCTCTAATTGTGTATACTTCAAATATATTTGTATATATGTGTGTGGGTTTGTCTCATGCTCTGTTTTTGTGGATGCGTGTGACTGAATGAATATGCGTATTGATTGTGTATTATGCTCAAACCAGTTTGTGTCTGTAGATTTACATTTTAACAAGCGCATGTACATACATTTACATACTTTCACACAATTTAAAATATTAATGTTTAGCCAATACCATAATTTGGCAATCGCCCTTTATCTCGGGGGGGTGGGGTGATGCCTCTTGGCAGCATTGTCTTTCCAACTTAGCATAAAATCTGAATATGAGAGCAGAAAAAAAAATTTAAAAAGCTTTTGGCAGCAACCAAAAGGCCAAATTTCAACAGATTGGCTTTTGGTACCATATGACATAAGACATCTCTTCCCCCTCCCTAATTAATACATGATATTTTTAAGTGTCATAAAGGGTCCAAGAAAGAATTGGTCAATATTTTCTGCTCTTATTAAATATATTTGTCTTGTCTTTGTCTGTGAAACGTTTTTTTTTTTGTAATGATGTTGAAAATCTTATCAATGCACTCAAGTTGTTTATTTTTTTTTTTTTTTTTTTTTTTTTAAAGTGCAGATTTAGGTGGGTTACATGGTATTGGCTAAACATTAAAATATAAACAAATCTGAATGCAACATACATGCACACACATGCACATACACAAACACAAAATTTCAGGACATTTTTTTTTTTTTTTTTTTTTTTAAGTAAAAATATTAATTTCTATATTTTGGTGTAACTTTTAAAATATATTTTTTTTTAAATTCTCAAAATTAATCATGTAAAAATTCTGATTTTGCTATTTTTTTTTTCTCTTGAAAAGAACTTTTTTTTAAAATTTATTTTCAAATTTTTTTTTTTTTTTTAAATGTGCTTTTGTTTTTTCCTCCCATGTAAATTTCCATCTATTTATAATATTTACCAAGTGAGGACCTGTCTGTACATAGTTGTAATAAAAAATGTAAAAAAAAAAATTATTTTTATTTTCAAATTTTTATATATTTAAATGGTTATGCTAATTGATTAAATTCTGTCATACCTGAACATACCTATATTAATAGACTCTCCACACATAATAAGTAGTAGTAGCGGTTGCCAGTTGAGCTCAGTGGTGTTGAGTGAGTCAGTCGATGTCGGACATTGAAGTATCAACCATCACAACTAGATTGCTGCATCATTAACTCTTATTTCAAGTTCCTAACGTTTTGTATGTCGAACCTAATTTAGGACGACTTATTGAAATACAAGCCTCCACTGTGAAAACTACTCTACAACAAATTCAATAATGGATTATTTTTCTGAAAAAAATTAAATTTTTCTAATGAGTTGAAATTTAAACAATGAACAGCAAGCTGACTGCATATGCTCATAAGTGGCTGGGAGAATTGTCTATGTCAGTTCATCCATACTTAGAATATTGCTGGCTACATTTGGTCTGAAGATCTTGCTGTATACTTAGAGTGCAACATTAGCTTGCAAATTTTCATGTTTTACATTAAAAATAACATTTTCATGATATTTTGGCTAAAAACAAAATCAGATTGGTTAAAGCTTTGAGATTGGAATTGCTAAACTCGTATTCCTAACTTCAGTGTATAAATGACAGAATCATTGAATGATGAAGCCAGCAAAATTGATTTTGCTGTAGCATACCTACAGACAATAATATTTATGTCCCCATTCACATAAATACAGTAGTAAATACTGTATGTTGGTCTGCAGTTGGAGATTCATTGTGGAATTCACTTGA